CCAGGAGGGAAGGGGGGGGAGGGAGGGCGCACCCAGTTGGGGTCTGTCTGCATGTAGCGCCAGTGGAACAGCTCCTTGAGCGTCAGCTTCAGCAGCTTGGTGCCCACCTCGTCACGCACCGCCTGCGGCATGGCAGCCACCTGCGTGGCGCAGGCCAGCGGGCGGGGGCTGAGGCGCGGGGCGCACACACACGCGTGCAGGCGGGCCAGCGGGCACTCACACCCTGGGGCACCAGAGCACAACTCGCAAAATACAACCACGCATCCTGCTCTGGAGGCGAGCTGCCACCCACGGGTGGCGTCCCCGCCCCCGCCACCCCTGCACCACCCCGCCCCGCCCCGCCCTACCTTGTCGATGTGCACCCCCGGCACCCACTCGCTGGCCAGCACCCTCTCGCTGGACAGCTCCGGCACCACATCGGGCACGTGGAAGTGCTGCACGGCGCAGGGAGGGTGGGGGCAGGAGCGGGCGGGCAAGGTGCGTTGCATCCAAGCGCTGGGGCCAGGACGCGGCAACAGGCGTCCACCCGCGCCGCTGGCCGCCTGCGTGGAAGCCGCCAGCGGCTGCGCCGCCCGCTGCCCTCGGGCTGCTGCCTGCGCGCACCTGCGCTGTGTAGGGGTCGCCCGCGATGAGCTGCTTGAAGCGCTGCTGGCTCTGCAGCTCGTAGCGATAGTCGCACTCCAGCTTGAGCTCGCGCTTGGCCACGCGCACTGCGGGGCAGGAGGGGCGGCGGGCGTTGACCGGCTGTAGCCAGCGCTGGAGACTGGAGACCTCAGCCGGTGCACCCCACCCCACCCCAACACAGCCCAGGCCGCGCAGACACTCTGTTGCAGCTTGCAACAGCACTCCGGCGCCGCGCCGCCCCACCCGCGTTCTCCACGTAGAGCCCCCTGGGCAGCACGTTGGCCACGCTGATCAGGCGCATCAGGTTGTCCACGTCACTCTCAATGGAGCGAGCCACCCCGGGGTACTGCACCTTCACCACCGCCCGCCTGCCGTCGTGCAGCAGCGCTGAGTGGACCTGCGGGGGGGGAGGAGGGGCGGGGTGGGGGAGGCGAGCAACGGTTACACCAGGCCTGGGGCAAGGCCAGGGCTTGGGGGGGTGGAGGGGCTGTCTGGCAGCATGCGCGGCTGAGGCAGCCACGCCTGGGCCGTGCACGCGGTGGACTGGGGGAGCGTATTGGCTGCCCCCGCTGCGGCTGCCTCAGTCACCCGCCCCTCCGCCCACCTGCCCGATGGATGCTGCAGCCAGGGGCTGGTAGTCGAACTCCGCCACCTGCTGCTCCCAGTCCTCGCCCAGCTCAGACACCAGCACCTGGCAGGAGGCAGGGGGGGGTCAGGAGAGGTCTCATCAGCACCAGCAACACAGACACGCACGGGGATGGGGCTGGCAGGCGGCGGGGATGCCAGTATCTCCGCCAAGCCCTTGCGGCGCACCGCGTGCACAAGGGGTCAGGTCCCCACTCCACCCAGCCCCTGCGCCTCGTGCGCCCCAGCCACCCACCTGCTGCAGCTGCCTGCGAGGCATGACGTCCGCCCCCGCCCGCACCCGCTCCAGCGCCGCCTGGAACTGCGGCGGCAGCACGTTCTCGTCCTGCAGGAGCGCCGGGTGTATTGGGTGGTGGGCAGGGAGAGTCGCGCGGTGTGAACAACAGCATGCTGGCCAGCCACGCCCACCACCAGTCTCACCTGTATGCTCAGCATCTGGCCCAGCTTCAGCGCCGCGCCCCGCATGCGGCACAGCGCGTTGGCCAGCCGCTCAGCATTGTCCTCGGTGAGCCATGAGCTGGTGGGGTGGGCGCTGCAGGTGGGGGTGGAGGGGGGTCGGGTGTGANGATAGGGACACCCCCCCACCACCCACACCACCAGGGATGCTGGGCTGGGGAGTGCTTGGCAGGTGCAGCACAGCAGACGGGGCCGGGGGCAGGGCAGCGCAGGGGGCGGCAGCCAGCACACAGCGCCAGCGCGTCACCTGTCGCCCTGCTTGCCGCCTCCAAAGGCGCGACTCACGCTCTCGCGCACCGTGCCGTACAGCAGGGAGGAGCCCAGCTGGGCAAAGCCCATGACCCGCCCTAAGCTGCTGCTGGGCACCGCGCGCTCCCGAGGCACAAACTTGGGCGGCGCCGCCGCCGGCAGGGCGGCCACCTCCTCCCCAGCTCCTGCCGTGCCCGGCAGCCCGGCGGCGGCTGCCTGCTGGCTAACGCTGCTATAACGTTCGAGCCGTGTCGCACCCTGCAGACCATGCACCTCTGGTGCCCTGCCGCTGCCCACCTCTCGCGTGGTGGCTGCTGCGGCGGCGGAGGTGGCGCTGGGCATGCCTGCCCCAGGCTCTGCTTGCTGCTGTGCCGACGCCACGACGCCAGGTGGCTCCCAAATCTCAGGGGGTGCCACTGCTGCTGGTGAACTGGTTGGCACGGCTGCTGCTGGTCGGGCTGCTGGTGGCACGTGCGGCGGTGCGGGTGCTGCTGCTGCCGCAGCCGCGAGGGGCTGCTGCGCAGGCGGCGGCGCTGCGCCTGCTGGCCTGAAGATCTGCTGCTGCCGCGCTGCATGCTGCTGCGCCTCGTAGCTGGCTGCACAACAGATGCAAGAGGCCGCAGCAAGCGTGCGGCTTGTTGTTGGGTGGAGAAGACGTAAGCTCACTACTTGCTGAAAGGCAGCCTGCTCACCATCTACCGGAGGTCCCTGCCACACGTTTGTGCCCGGGCTCACCTGGTGCCCCTCTAGCAGCCACTGCGCGGACGCCCTGCGCCAGCTCTCCACTCACCAGCCTCCGCAGCAAGGTGCTGCAGCACGAGGCAGCAGGGCAGGGCAGATGAGGGCGGCAGGGAGGGTCGTCAAGCAGGAGGGGAGGCAGGGCGGCGGCAGGGCGGCGGCGGCCCCACCACCACAGCCTGCTCAACTGGCCAGTCATTTAATGCACGCACCTGTCTGCCGCACCCTGCTGCGCCACAGCCGCCACCCCACTCAGTATGCGTGCCGCGTCCTCCAAAAGTTGCCTGCTTGCCATGGGCGCTGGTCGCGGCACCAAATGGCCCAGCCGGGTGATATTGGATGCCAATTGGCGGCGATCCTAGCGATCAACATAGCCGTGGGTACACTGCGGTGTACTTGGACAGGGTGTCTCAAACACAGGAATGCCACGAACAGCCCCGATTGGCATTTTCATTCCTAGCCATGGCAAGACATGGTGAGCGGCAATAGGAGACTCAAGGATGATGTAGAGGAGCGGGCCGACGCTTCTGTATCGTGCCAGCCTCTGTGGTACCGGCGGCGGCAGCACCCCTCACACCTGTGGCCCCTCCTCCAGCCATTAAGAGGCTGCAGGTGATGTAGGGACTGCTGGTGGCGCAGGAGAGATGGCAGCGCCTCATGACGTTGCTGGGGCAGCGTCACCAGACACGCCGCCATCGAGCCTGCGCCGCTCTTTGCGGCCCTTTTCAGCACTTTCTGCTGGATTTCCATAAAGGATGCTCTGCCAGCATGGGACGCGGCTGTTAGTGCCAGCAGCGTCAGGAGCCTTCGTGGTGGGCGCTTGCAGCGCGCGTCGCTGGCACTAACATGTGGGCGGCGGCATGTTTGACATGCCGCGCGTCGCACTTGCCCCTCGCCACTGTTGCACCAGACTTCAGCGCATATTGTAGCTACTGGGGCATAAGCTAGTGAGCAATGACAGCAAGACATGTATGCGGATGTTCCCATCGAAGGGCCATCCGGTTATCTTCGTGAAATAGCTTGTGGAACCGCCAACGCAGGTAGGCCTCCCGGTAAGGATGTGCCCCATGATGGGCATGATGGCCCCCCACCTGGAGGGTCATTAGGGACATCATCCTCAATCATGCATCATTCTCCCTCCCGTTTGTTCTGTTGGCATCCCAGCAACCGTAATATGCTTTCTAGGACATGAGCCAGCACTTTAGGATGAAGGTGGTTAGCAAGACCACGGCCCCCAGGCCTCTAGACGGGCCACAGCCAAAAAGACCCCGTGCAAGTAGACCAGGACAACAAGCTCCCTTCAATGTGCCAGGGCAGGCCAGGCGGCGGGGTGAGAGGGATGACAACGAGGATGAGCGAGCACCCAGCGGCTTCTTAGGCTGGGGCGACCGGCAAGGACGCAAACGTGATCACTGGGAGGCTCGGCTCGGACCGGACGTGGATGCCTTCTTGGCCTCTCTGCCGGGCCGGGCGGCGCAGCAGCGGCAGGAGCGCCAGCAGCAGCTCCAGCAGCGGCAAGCCCAGCTGGCCAGCATGGAGCCGCTTCCTTGCCACTTAGCAGCAGAAAATGGCAGCTGCTGTGAGTTGGGGATCCTCAGAG